GTAGTGTTACTTATGACTATTCTTAGATAAAATAAAGCAAATGGAAAAGGCTTAACACAGCTCCATGTGTGATGATGACAGGTGTTGCTAGTCACAGGTGTGTGAAGGTGAAAATGTGTAAAAGCCAGTCGTGTAGAAAACAGGTAAAACTAGGGAAAGTAAATATCTTGATAACTGGAAGATAAATATGAGGAACACAATAGAGAATACTAGACAATGGAGAGAATGTAATTCAGTGATGCTAATTGTAGAATAACAAATACATTGTAATAAAGGGCAAGCAAGTTAAAAGGGGTCACATTAAGCACAAAAGGCACTGTGTAGTGGAGAGACTGCAAGTCACTTCCTCCCAGTGTACCAAAAAGCCATTTGGAAAAGAGGGTAGGGCCAGAGAGGAGGGAATCTGAGAGCCCGGACCAGGGGAGGGAAAGCTGGGCCCAGACTCCCATCTCACTCAGCCAGACACCACTGGACCCCAAGAGAGCCACCCTCCAGTACCAAAAAGGTATGGGAGTAGGGGGGTGGCTAAATATATGTAATGTGAGTGGTCCTGTGATCTTTGATTGTATATCTGTGTATGTGTTATGTGTATGTATGTGTATGTCTTAGCTGTGTGCATATATAGTCTGTGTATATATGTATTTTATGTGTATCTGTGTGTCAGTATGTGCCTCTGTATATGTGTGTCTGTGCATCTGTATGAGTGTCATTGTATGTATCTATATGTATGTGCATCTGCATGTGTGCCATTGTGTGTGTCTTTACATCTGTAAGTCTGTCAGTGTGTGTCTGTTTGTGGAGGGATAGCTATATTGTGCTTGTATAGGAGATGGGTCTGTAGTAAGGGGGGAGTATAGAAAAATACAAAAGTTACATTTCTTCCTCCCTATCTCTGGTATACCTTGGGCCAAGGAGGGAGAAATGCTAATCCCTGGTAGTCCAGTTGGACATCATCTGGTCTGTACTTCTAGAAGGTGCAGACCGCTCATAATTCCAGGAGCAATGCTAATGCTCTGCACCCTGAAAAGGTGCAGATTACTAGCTTCCTTATTGACTTATGCAGCACAAGATGCTGGTTGATGATGGAGAACATTGAACTCTCAATAGGCTGTGGAGATCACTTACTAGCCAGTGTCTGGATAGCACCATCCCTGTATAGAACAACCAGGGCATTCCTTTGATCTCCTCTGTTGGTCTTTGCCCATGGCCATAGGTTGCCCCGCGCACATTATACCATAGTCCAGCTGCCACATCCAAGCCTATTATCAGCCTTTGATTCTGGATCAGTGTTACATCGTTTGTACCATCTAGTATGCTGATTTTATTGGATGTGAGAAGGATGCTCACTGCATGTATAGTGCAAAATGCAAAATCTGGAATAAAGGATACATTTCTGGGATTGTTTGTTTAAACTTAGCCCCTTGGTCCCAACACAGGAGCATCTTAATGTTACAGCATTAAATTGTAATCTTGCAGATGTGCTTGTTTAAAGCATGGATGACGTGGTGGGACTTTATTTATTTTAGAAATATAGCTTTACACAGATGATTTCCACTATTATATCAATATATAACAGAATTTTGGTGACCATAAAATTGAAAAGATGATAATGTTTTATTCCTCATTGTTTTAAAGCTTCCTGGCTAACTTACTTCCTACTTACTCTTCATATCCCAAGCATGTATGAGATATCTTTACTTTACTGATCTTTTTATGTGTTACTTAATGTTTGGGAGAGATTCCATTGTGGTTTGATGTGTATTTAATATTTTCCATCATGTCACTATATCTAATACCTGTAACAGGCTTAAAAGAATTGTCAATAGAAATTGAGTCAAATGAACATTTAACACTGAACACAATTGAACTTTAAAACGGAACACTCTCTCCTTCTATGGTGTTGATAATTCTTTTAAAGTTTAATTTTACTTTGACCTTCAAGACTGCATAGCTCAGTTTTCATATGGGTTGATGTAGGTATAGAAGTAAAACCTTTTCAAATAAATCCATTGCATTTTGGTTAATAGTCTGTCTCAGAGGTTGGATATAAAGGTACTATTACTTTTACATTGTGAGCATCCACAGACTTATATTTCGTACATTTTTGGGCACCTACTAATATGGACATTTGTTACATTTATTATATTCCTTAACCTCTTGACTGTTATCCTCCATAGATTCAATAAACCTTTTTACTCCAAGGATATCCAATCTGTAAGACTAGATTTGTTCCTCGTTTTTTTAAGATCGAACGGCCACTTTACTTTCCTGTAGTAATTTATATTGATTTTATTGTATTTTTACATTTATTGAAGTCATAGTTTGTGTAAAAGACTTTACACAATTCTGTTATTTCTTCCTGTGGAGGGCATATTAAAAAAGTCTTTTTTTTTTCACTATTATTTATTTAATACTTCTTAATTATTGTCCAGGAGTAGCCCAAGCTTATCTATATCTTGAAGTCCTTATTTTGGGCATTACTGTGAAATAGACTAAAAGATAGGTAAAAGAAGAATTTTGCCTAGTCTGCTCTTACTTTTAAGATGGTGTATTCCTATAAACTTCATGCTCTGGGACTTTCATAATTTGGCAAATGGGGAGACAAATGGTAAACTGGAGCATATAGTCATCATGGAGATGATGTGCACACATTACTGGCATAGATGCTCAGGTGCTGCTTTGCATTCCAGCTTATTGATTTAATAAGGAGTCTGACTGGATGCCATCATACATACCTCATAACTTTTTGCCTGGGGAACTCAGGGATGGGGTCCTGAGGAGGGATGTAATCCATGTATGAGTGATGCCCACAATTGCAAAAAGGGCAGGTTCAACCACTGAAAGGGCAGGTTCAACCACTGACGCCCCTAGCCTTCAGGACCATGCAGGGAGCAGAAATGAAGTGCTCCTTACAAGGTCCTAGTGCCCATTTCACTGAGCACTGCGCTGCCTGGGGAATGCAGGACACCAGAGAACTAAAGTGGGACAGAACTCCAATATCTGGACTGTTTAGCCGAATACGCGACAGTTGGGAAGTGTAGCGGAGAGCTGATATTCCACAGGTTATCTCCACTTAAGATCCCAGTGAGGCTCAGGAACAAGTATTATAAATCCATAAAGCAAGGCTTTCAGCAGGCAAAACAATCCAACAATATCCCAACCTCAATCCCAATGACTGGACGACACAGCATCAGGAGCAGAACTGACTTTTAATTCACACAACCTCCTTATAAAGCATTCTCCCATGCAAGAGAGGGATTCACCATAATTAGGACAGTAACCAATAATGTAACAGTTACCTCCCACACATCTCCTCTCCTCAGTGTGACACATAATCCCATTAAACATGCTGTAGTTTTCCCCGAGTTCTGGATGTACCCCAAAACAGTTAGGTACAATGGACTAAGTGGCACCCCCTGCTAGCCCTGATCTGGGTGACCAACATATCCAAAATTCACCCAGATCACACCAGGGGTTCGGGAGTTAGGTCGGTCTCCGTTCGGGAGATAAAATACACATAAATACATGCCATCCACTATTAATCTTGTATTCTCATGAATCCCCTTGTTCGGTACTTTTAACTCCCCGAACGGGTGGCTGATTAGCCTCTCCGTTCAGGAGTTACGGAGCTCTGGAGGTCTCAGCGGTGTTCAGGTAATTGAGTGTCCGATTTGAGTTCCAGACACTCAACGCCCAAACACCGCTGAGGTTTTCGTGCGTAAGATGGCCGCCGCCACGTGTTCGTATGCTGAACGGTGGCCACCCAAATACATGCACAAAGTACCAATTAACCTGCGGTTAGAGAAGTGTGAAGCCTAATAAGGTGCACTCTTCTCTCTGGGGTGATCTACTGGTTCGGTAGTTTCATTCGTATGAGATACGGATGAAACTACCGAACAATCATACGAATACTACATACACTTTTAACTATACAGGAAAATAAACACACGAATTGCAGTTTTAACAGTGTCTTTTAGGACAGCTGTAATACCATCCGCTACAGAAAGCATACATCGTGTAACATCATTCTGACTTTCTGTCTGATGTGGACTGCTCCATTTTTAATGCTTTTTATATCCAGAGTGGATTGTGCCATATTTCAAAGCCACAGTTGGCGGCAGCCATCCTGTGGCATTGGTTGCGGGCATTCTGGCATTGCAAGGAATCCTTTCTGGGCTCCTAAGACCAGTCCATGCTCTGTTCATTGTCCTGATGTGCGTTGCTTACTCAAGGGTGTGTTCTTAACTCCCTTTTCTGGTTTTACTTGGCACTCTTATTTGACTAATTGCTGTACTACTTGGCCTTGGCCAGTTTCTCAGTTCTATGTATTTATGTATTCTTTATGACTTTAGATTGTGTCTATTCATGCTTTGACTGCAGAATGTCATATCTAATTACTTACATTAATCCCGGCCATGCTAAGGACCATTATTAATACATTGCTATCTGTTCTCAGTTCACCCTGAGATTTAATATAGGGGTACACTTACCTTGACATTGACACACTCAGATGTCTTATTTTTAATAACTTGTTCTATATCTATTTTAGTACTTTTATACTATTATCATTTTTAGAATAACTACATCATATGTGGTGAGGAATCAATACTCTACCTTTAAGGCAACATTGAACATTGTGACTTGTTCTCAATCAGTACTTTTCAAATGAACTTTTAAGTAGTTATAATAAAGAAACCCATATATTGTTTCCCTAGATTACTCGCCAACAAATTCTATGAATTATGACTCGTGTACATCTCTCCATGATCTGTTTAATGTGTCTCATGGGAAAGTTGGATACTTTTGCAGAGAACATTATATGAACTATTTCAGTCATGACAGCAACGCAAATATTCAATTAGTGGAATGAAGGAGTAGCAACATGTGTATGTGGATAATAAATGCTGGAAAAAAAATTTCAGGGCAGATCATAACATTTTATAGAATTATTAAGAGTACATCTCAACCATGGGATTTTATAAAGTCTGAAGCCATTGACTGCCAAGGCTATAAAACAGCTGTGATTATTTTAATCTAATTAAAACACCACTTTGTAAGCGCAGCTATCTACAGAACGTTACCTAGAATCATAAAGCAGAACTGCAATGATCACTTTCACCATATACCTTCTAATTAATCTGTGATAATGTTTCAGCAGATGACTTATCTGAACATAAAGATGCAAATAATGACTGGGAATCCTGTTGGGTCTCTTCCGACAATGTAACCAGTTCAGCTTGCTGTCCAAAATATCTTCTAAGTACCATTAAGAAAGAAACATGGTATGTATGTATACATGTTAATTGGTATTCTGTGTATAGGAGGCAATATTCAGTTCATGTAACGTTACCCAGATTTTGTGAGTTTGTGTTTATTGTTCACACATGTCTGTCTATGACATTTATGTATTCCTCTGAATTCCCTTGTCTACCAGTGTGTTAATAGGTTGGTTGAGGACATTTGTCTAACAATAGATTCTGTATGTTATTGTATTGTATAGAATTGAATGAACTACTGACCAGGCATAGTATAAAAAGTGTTATAATGCACTCTATGCCAAAAATAATGCTATGTCCATCAATTTTTTTATTTACTTTTTTTTAACTTTTTTATTACCATTGCTATTGAAAACCTTCAAACTATTTCAAATAAGTCCACTTGGAAAATATCACTTACATGTATTTTTACTATGTGATTATGTAAAGTGCAAATGGAATATAACATGCAACATGCATAAATGCAAATATGCTCTTTGTATATATTTACGGCTGGAGTGTTAGAGATTAAGGGATGGATTATTATTTATAAAAAGTGGAAAAAAAAGCTAATCCAAAACACATAACATTTTACCTTGAATTTGTAATTTACTTTGAATTCACCTTGAATTCTCACCTTAGAGAATTTCTTAGAGAATAACCCTGTTAGATAGGCACTTTTCCATTGTCTTCGCTGCCTTTTTCTGTTTAACAATCCGTTCATATCCCATTCTTCCCATTTTGGAGATGTTTTCTCTATAGGGTGCCTTTTATTTTATCTTCCTGGACATCTCTAGGGGAGAGTTCAAATTTGTGAAACATCCACCACTTATGTCACTTTCCTGGAAAGTATTGTGGATGGTCCTCCGTGCTGGTCTCACAAGGGAACAAATATCTCTGCAGTGGACTGTTGGTCAACACAGACCTCCAGAGACTAATGTAGAAGAATGGTCTAGTGAGAGGGCAGTCTAATGGAAATTGATGCATAATATAATGGAGAGAAGGTTTTTATGTGCTAAAAGGAATCAAGCAATGAATAATTAAAGTGTAGATGTTGTGTTAGGACTATAGTGTCTGATAATTTAGAAATAGGAGTTGGAGGTTAGACACTGAAAGAGTGTTTTCATAACATAGTGTTGCACTGTAATGTAATGAGTGAACAGTCTAATGGGATAGATGTGTAATGAGTGTTAGCAATCTAATGAGATGTGCAAAGAAAGAGTGAGAATCTGAGAGGAAGCAGTGCACATGTGCAATAAAAGGTTCGGTAACAGGATAGATGATGTGTAAGAGGGAGAAATCTAAGTGAGGAAACTAATGGGGAATATATGTGTAAAAATAGAGGGGTCTATTCACTGAATATTGAATTTTCTTCCGCAAATTTGTCTCTGCTCAATTATCTTGTGTGTGGTTTGTTAAAATTCCTGTGTGTCACACTGTTCACTAACAACCGAATGCTCACTGAAAAGAGCCGAATGGATCCCTGTTATGTTTTTAAAAACTCTTTATTTTTGACCGACCGTCAGTACAAAAAGAGACGAGAGGTAACATCGATGAGACACTGTAAGGTGAGTGTAAGTCCAAAAGCATACATGTCAACATGCGATAGCAAGATAATTTGTAAAACATACATAGGTGACTTTAAGTGTATCTTGAAGCGTGCTGTTGCACAGAGACTGTCAGCGATTTTATAAAAATATATATAGTAGATAAGGATACAGACAGAGATCCCTACATTGTAAGACAATTCTCAGTGTTCAACGGGAACTGCCTTTCCTTCCCGCGAGATCATAATAATTGTTTGTGTGATAGAAGATAGCAGTTATCTTTAAGCAGCTCACAACCAGGCCTAATTTGTAGTGTAGGGTTGAAAAAGGAAGAAAAGAACATTTAGAAAATGACATTGAAGAATGAGAGGAAAAAGAGATGATTTTTGACAGCGGGTATGACCAACAATAACTGCTGGGAGTCGGGAGAGCTTTTGCCTTTTGTCTAGTTCAGGATCACAGGTAGGTGCCTTTTTATACAGATACATTGCAACACAATTCTTATTTAAAATTGCATAAGATCAACATTAAGATGACAACATAGTGAGTATAGTACTGAATTAAACACAAGAGGTGCATTGTTGTACCTATTATTGTTGATGTCAGCATGTAAATACAGTACTGGTTGAATGTGACTTGTCGCCTTGAATTGCTACAGTTCACATCACATTTACTTTGGTATGCGTTAAGTAGGTGAGGTCAGTATACATATAACCATGTTACTGTCACGGTTCACGCCGTGACATCCAGTCTGCCAGACGTGGTCGCTCCGGAAGCGCCCGATAGGGGATTTGAACTGTGGTTCTTCTGGACCGTATCCTGCTGTTCTTCCTCTGAGCCATTTCAGGACTTTGGATAACTCATGTTTATTCTTGTATTGCCTGCAGCACTTGGGGGCTGGACTTCACCAAAGGCTCAGATCTGTCAGTAACTCTCCAGCTGAATCTGATACCTAATTAACAGGATATAAAAGCCTGCCTCACCCTGGGAGGGGTGTCAGTTCATTGACTCTGGTTCCCTTGTTTGGTTCCTGTTACTCCGTACCTGTGTTCCAGTGATTCCTGACTAATTCCGGCTTCTGACCTTGGCTTTCCTCCTGGACTACTCTGACCTCTGGCTTCCCTGATTTTGGCTTCCCTTGACCACACTTCTGCTAATCCCTGCTGTACTGAGTCTTGGAGCACTTTTCCTGGAAAGCCCCCGTGCACAGACTCACAGGCCAGGTGGCGTCTTACCTGGTCACCCTGGTCTGTGTCTACTTTGCAAGGGTGAGCGTATAACTCTGCGAGCTGGACTCCCTATCAGGTAAGACTCCGTTACAGATGAACTGACCAATGGAGTCCGCAGAGTTATGCAAAATACTTACCTCCCTGACCGAACAAGTCTCCAACCTGTCCCAGAATGTTATAGATTTGCAGAGACGTTCATTGGCATTTAAAGGAGCAACGCCTCCAGTCCGGAACATGTATGCCCAGAACCGTATGTCTTTATGCCTGACAGGTTCGACGGTTCCCGTTCTGCTTTTTCGATGTTCAAGACGGATTGTGAGCTATTTGCCCTGAAATCAAGAACCTACGTCACCGACTTTATCAAAGTTCGCTCCGCTATTAACCTATGTACCGGGCGCATTAAGGCGTGGGCACACCAGAAGTTGCAGGAGAGAAGTACTGTCTTGGACTCCTGGGAGTTGTTTATGTCCGCAATGGATTCTCAGTGTTTTGCAGCGAGAAAAGCAACTTCCAAGCCTACTTCAGGTTCTCGCAGAACCCGGTTGCCGAGAGAAGAGGAATTGTTTTATGGATACAAAAATCCCATCATGTTGAAGCATGAACCCACTTTCAGGGACCCGCCTTGTAACCCTGTTTACACTCGAGCTAGCAGTGAAACTCCAGTCGACATGGAGAAACCCATGGAGATTGGCTTCACCAGGACTAGATTGCCACCTAAGGAAAAAGACCGCAGGAGAGCCCATGGTCTGTCTATACTGTGGGAAAAGAGGGCATTTCATATCGCTCTGCCCGACTCGTCCACCTAGGCCAAGACCCCTTCTGTCTGGTGCTATATGGACTTACCCTGTCATCCTAGCAAGACAGCCTGGACACTGCCAGCCCTGTCCCCGTCCTGTGACACAAAAGGGTACCCAAACTTCTACAGTTAATGTTACCAGTACCCCTGTGGAATCTCCACCTCCTGCTCCAGAAACATTTGGACCTCTTCCTGATGACACTTCTGTTCAAGCAAGCACCATCACCACTTCCTGCCTTGACAAAACAGTTCTGCCACCTGACTGCACCTATGCCTCCAATGGCACAGTTGTGTGCAAAAAGGATCTAGAAGTATTAGAAAAAGCTTTGAAAGCTGCAAATGCCTCCCCTATAGCACCCGAAACTGGTACCATAAAATCCCAGGTCGTAAAAGGATACCTTAATTATAAAGACTATCTTAGTGATACTGAGACCGAAGATGAGGAGTACCATTTCCAGGAAGAGCTTGTTCACGCCCGGAGGGCGTTCTTGACAGGGGGGTACTGTCACGGTTCACGCCGTGACATCCAGTCTGCCAGACGTGGTCGCTCCGGAAGCGCCCGATAGGGGATTTGAACTGTGGTTCTTCTGGACCGTATCCTGCTGTTCTTCCTCTGAGCCATTTCAGGACTTTGGATAACTCATGTTTATTCTTGTATTGCCTGCAGCACTTGGGGGCTGGACTTCACCAAAGGCTCAGATCTGTCAGTAACTCTCCAGCTGAATCTGATACCTAATTAACAGGATATAAAAGCCTGCCTCACCCTGGGAGGGGTGTCAGTTCATTGACTCTGGTTCCCTTGTTTGGTTCCTGTTACTCCGTACCTGCGTTCCAGTGATTCTTGTCTAATTCCGGCTTCTGACCTTGGCTTTCCTCCTGGACTACTCTGACCTCTGGCTTCCCTGATTTTGGCTTCCCTTGACCACGCTTCTGCTAATCCCTGCTGTACTGAGTCTTGGAGCACTTTTCCTGGAAAGCCCCCGTGCACAGACTCACAGGCCAGGTGGCGTCGTACCTGGTCACCGTGGTCTGTGTCTACTTTGCAAGGGTGAGCGTATAACTCTACGAGCTGGACTCCCTATCAGGTAAGACTCCGTTACAGTTACAAGTTGTCCCCATTGGACGTCGTCATAGTCACTACTTTGTGTAGTGTAAATTTTGTGAATAATGTCGTCTCCCGAATCTAATTTTCAAAGAGGATTTGTTATTAGAGATAGGGGAAGGAGAGTAAAGGAATGTACTGGAGGAGGGAAGAGAGATGGGTGAGAGGCAGATGGGTATAATTCTGTCCATGGGGGCTTGTCCCCTAGGGATTTGTGTTGCGCTTCATTATAAAATAGCTCGACCGGTTTCTAACTGAATATCCACCAAATTGTACCTGAGTGTTCGGTTTTAATGTAGGTTTTGGTACACAAAAGAGGAAAATTGTGAGTTTGTATCCTCACTAAATTCATGTTATT